CTCTTGAAAATCTGTTAAGTTTAATACATGTTGTAAAGAAGACAAACACTTTATAATTTATACATGTAACATTACTTAAAAAATCATTTTTATTGTTGTTATGAACCTTAGTATAACAAACTTGGAAAAATTATACATATACCGTACCATATTTCTGTTACTTTCTTTAACATTTAAATGTTCAAATCTTCAGGTTTTATATTATAGAAAATAGGCTACAATTTGTAAGGCAAACAAGAACTTACCCTGAATTTGATTATAATATTCCTGTTGCGGTAATAGAAAACACGTCAAAACTTTCATCCCATCCTGGTCGTCAGTTTGGAACTTCAGCAGTGGTTTGGACTATAAACAAAAACTAAGTACATTAATTTAAACCATTTCTATAATTTACTTATTTCAAACATTAGATAAACCACAAAAACACAACCAGGAGAATCAGCAAGAAAATTATCATATTAATAATTCTGTAGACTGATCAAATACCACTCAATACTTTGCATGCATTTTTGAAAATGAGAAACCAGTATTACTGTATGTATTTTGAGATAGATCTACAGAACTTATTTAAACTATTATTAATACCAAATTTCAAAATGTTTAAAGCTGAGGTTAAACATTGTCTAAAAAAAAACCACAAAATTTTACTATTATTGTAACCATACAATCTTTTCAGAATAATGTACCTGGTTTTCAGAAAGCCATAAAGCCTTAAGGTTCAGTCCAGTAACAGTAATGGGAAGAAACTGGAGCCTGTTTGAGAGAACAATGAAAACTAAATACTCACAGAAAACGTATACATACCTTTTGAACATGCTAATGCATTGTTAAACATTAGGGCATATTTTTTAATTGTTTCAGATTGTACCACAAAAGATTGGAATACTTTTTATAATCAACTGTAAACTACTGATAAATTATCTTATTTAATATTCAGAGATTCTAGTTTGAAAGAAAGTAAACAAAATATTTAAAAAATTGAAACAACCTCAACTCTTGATAGTTCTTGCTTACTTAATTTTTTCAATTTTTTTTTTATAGACTCTTAAGTTTTTTAATAAAAATTTATCTTATTATCTCATTAATAGATATATTAAATGATCATTTAAATAAAATTACAAATGTCTTAAGTTTTAACAAACAAAGGTGTCTACTTGCTCTATGTTTTCTAATGTTCTCTTTACACAGAAGTTTTAACAAGAGACTTTTTACTTAAACTTCTATGTTACGAAAAACAAGTTTCAAGAAAAAGATTAAATTAACATATTCTACTAATTAACTCTTTAAAATGAAGGTGAATGTCATTTGTTTACAAACATTCCAAATTATTGACTTTTCATCAGTAAATTGCTTGATTAAACATAGAAAGACTTCATTTAAAATGGAATCTCATCCTTCTACGTAATGTTTAATCATAAAATAAAATTTAACTAATTTTCATTATGAAGATTCAAAATCTTATATGTGAGATTATCGAAAGTAGTTTATATCATTAGAACTGCTGAACTGAATTTAATCTTGAACAAATTTTTGTAGTTGAATTGTGATCGATATTCCCTAGAGGGAACTGTTAAACAAGTTTTTGTAGTTGAATTTTGATTGACAATTTTACAGGTGAAATGACATACCTTTATTGTACATTTTCTATAAAAACATGAAACATAGGCTGACAATTATTGACCCTTCATCTTGATTATACAACTTTAGATTTCTTGCTAAGACTTTTCACTTGTAATTTATTGATGTTAACTTGTTTTATTGCCAGCAACATAACTGCAGAAGGATGTCCATGTTTGTCCTCACAAACTTCTTATTAACTCATGATTATATTTAAATTCTCCAAGAAAGTTTGATAGACCCAATAGATGCTAAAATTACACAACCTTCAAAATAAAATATATACTTTTTAAAAGTTATTTTTCTTGTACCTATCCAAACTGATTTACTTTAATATAATGTAGATAAGTTACTGCATTCCTTAAAATTCATTAGTTTAAAACTTCCAATTAATCCTAAATTTATTGTTCATTAAATCAACAAAACAAATGTTTAAAATCAACTATAAATCTTTCTAAAGAATCGAGCGAACCTGTTTCCACAAACATCCAAAACTCTCAGTTGTTTCAGCCTTCCCATCTCAATCGGAATGGAATTCAGAAGGTTACTTCGAAGTGATAAAACTCCCAAACTAGTTAAGTTACCTATCTGTGAAGGAAGCTTTGAAATTCTGTTTTTGTCTAAATTCAGAGTGCTTAGCTTGACAAGGTTGCCTATTGAGGGTGGAATTTCTGTCAGCAGGTTCTCTGTTAGTATTAATTCTTGCAAACTAACACACTTGCCTATGCCTGGAGGTAAAGCACTAATTTTGTTCTGATTGGCCTGAAAGAATGACAAAAAACACATGTACAATTAGCACCCGTACACTAAAAACAAATATATACCACAGTGCACTTTTACTTTTTCTCACAGATTAGAATACTTTTTTGTGCTAGAATAAGCTTATTTTATTCGAATCAATTGTGATCTTTTTTTTTAGGATACTGAATTTTTTACTTGCAATCAGTAGTATCTTAAAAACTAACAAAATTATCATTAAAAATATTTTTTTACACTTAAAATGGAATACCTAGAATTACAAGCATATTAGAATTTCAGAATAGAAGCTTAATTTTTCAAAGGAAGCATATTTTCAAAAGTGCCCAAAACAAATGAGGCATACAAGAATTCATGGAAGTATAAGTGTTACTTAAGCTGACCATAACAATCTGAAATATACAAGTGTTTATTGAAAAATGCTGTAAAGAATATTTCTTTTAACATGGTTATTCTATTTATATAAAGATCTAATATCATATGCAATGTGGAGATACTGAGTTATTCTTTTTTTAAATGATTAGTTTTTAAAACTCAAAAATCCTTGCCTTATAGCATGACTAAGTTTTTTGAAATACAATAATTTTTATAGTATTTTGGCACTTGTGTATAAAGTTAAAATCATAAATAATATTCAACGTTAAACTGG